GTCCATTAAGAAAAGCTGTCTTGACGTCCATTTGATACAACTCGAGATCAAAATGAGCCACCAATGCCATAATAATTCGTAAAGAATCCTTGGTAGAAACATGTGAGAAAGTTTGCTTATAATCAATACCTTCTCTTTGATTGAAACCCTTAGCAACAAGCTTAACTTTATACCTTTCTACTTGACCTTCAGGATTATACTTGGTCTTCATTTACAGCCAATTGGCCTTAGCCACACGGTAGTTTAATTAAGTCCCATTCTCCGTTTCTACACATTGATGCCATCTTATCACGTATAGCATCCATCTAAAATGAAGATTTAGGACTATCAATGGCCTCTTTAGAAGAGGTCGGATCAAGAAACGTACCAACATCAAACTCATGTTCATGCAAATAGACAATATAATCATCAGAAATTATTGATCTATTAACTCTTTGTGATCTCCTAAAAACAATGTCATCAATCCCCGTATCAACATCAACCATAGTGTTAGCGACAGGGTCTTGGACAATAGTATTGGATCCTCCTGTTAATGGTGGTGCTGCCACTGATGGAGGAGTGACCTGAACAGGTATTACAACACACTCCTCCCTAAACTCAACTTCACGTGGTGTAGAACTCCCACTGTCACTAACATCCTCAAAAAAATGGCTCGATCCAATTTAATGATCCTAGTAACATTAGAAGGGCAATACAGTCTAGATCCCTTTGATCCCACACAATAGCCAACAAAATATCCTGTGATGGTCTTAGGATCAAGTTTCTTCTGTTTAGGGTTATAAGACTTTAGTTCTTCTTCACGCCCCAAAGTGGCGGTGTAATGAATCTGATTTGTCTCGAATGAGTTCAATGTAACCATAGCAAGAATAATCGTCAGTAAAAGTAATGAAGTATCTATAATTTCCCAAAGTGGCGGTGTAATGAGACCACAAATATCAGTATGAATCAAATCCAAAATTTTCACACTTCTGCTAATCTTTTATTTTCTGGTTTTCACTAGAAGCTTCCCTTTGATCCAAGCAACACAAGTTTTAAAATTAGAAAAATCCAAGTCACCCAATATACCATCCTTAGCCAACCTTTTCATTATTTCTTTAGAAATATGACCCAACCTTTTATGTGACAACATGAAAGAGTTTTCATTGGATCTAGCACGTTTAGAACCAACTACAGCATTCACAACAGATGTACTAGAAGTGGAATCCAAAATAGGAAACAAGTCAATTTTATACAAACCATCATATAAAGTAGCAGTTACTACCACAACAGAATTATAATAGATTG